GGATCTAAAGCGTGTAGAAGGGTCCATGAAGCCAAATCTAAGCAGCTAAATGCTTCCTAGTTTGGAAACGATCCAATGAGTTTATTCTAGAAACTCTTAAAGATTTGATCAGTTTTAAGCTCCTTTAATCATTTATGTGTTCAAACATCCAGCTGCTCAGTCTGTCTTCATCAGACGTGATGAAGAGATTCAGTTCAGTGGTTTTAATCGTTAACCTGAGTCGTGTTTTAGCTGCATTCTCACTGGAAAAGCTGCTGCTGGCATCAGCGAAACTTTTTACACGTCTAAATTCATTTTCACCACACTAGTGTTGACTTTTCTTTGCATGCAGGTAATGATCTTCATGTGTTAGTTAGAGTTGGTGCCTTGCTGTGTGCAGCCGCCGTTTTTCAACTAGCGCACAAAGTTGGCTTTTTGGTTGACAGTTAATCTGAAGTTGATTCGTCTTTTAATTTCACTTAAAATTAATTGATAAGCAGAGAACCTTAATCCTCTCCAGTATCAAATGGTCTTTCACTAAAATCAAAGGTTACATTATTTTCAATATAATGAATCCACAATAAAGAAACACGTTGTTATTTTTTATGAATTTATTGTGCAGCTGTATTAAATACTGACTGCAAAAAATGATGAACTTTAACATATTGATAGGAGATCAAACAGCAGCTGATGGATGAATAGAAGGAAACTGGGATTAGCTCCAGTCTAGTGGGACTATATGCTGGGATCCCATTGGTAGATGATGTTTGAACCAGTTTAAACTGAACGGTTTCCTAACAGGACCAAAGTGACTCGTACGCAGCGGACTTGGAATCGTCCTCTAAGTTTGATTCTCTGACATTTAGTCTGTAACGTTATGTGTTGTTGGTTTGAACCTGAGCTGAATTTTAGTCACCTGCAGACTCTCCTTCATGTGTGTGTTCAGATCCTGACTGATGATCTGAGGAGGATTTGATTAAAATAAATCAATGATCAAATAAATATTTGACTTCCATCCTCAGGATTAGTGGAAATGTGGGAATACAGTCAGCTCTCCTGTTTCTGTCCCTCTTCTCCTCCTTTTCACTCTTTTTTTTCTTCCTAAATAATTTCCATGAACAGTTTTTCTGCATTTGTTCTTGTCACGGCATTAGATGAGGCTTTTATCTGCTTCTTTGTCTGTGAAAGGATCAAGGCGACGCCGCTTTCACTGCTGAGTAACTACAGAGTCCTTTTTTCAATTATTCACACAGCGAATGAGGCCAGAGCTGCTAATTCCAGCGGGACGTGTGTGAGTGTGTGAGGCTGATGTGTGAATCCGCCATGATGCGACATTCGCCGCCGAGGTGTCAAACACCGCGCTGCCTCCATTAAGGGTGTGGGTGACCACCTGGCACATGTGTGAGAGGAGAGGCAGGGGCGCCTCCTGTGCTCCAGATGTGGGCTTGACACGTTTATTAGCCATTCTTGTGTTAAACAAACCCCATCCCTGTGGTGGGAGATGGAGAGACGACTGATTCAACACATTAGGACTCATTCTCCACGCCTTGCTTATTCAAGCCTGCAGGAGCCCCATCTGTCTCTGGTCTCTCTGTCGCTCCCTCTCTGCTCTGCCTTTTCACACTTTACTGTATGATACGCAGTCATATGCCTGTTGGAGATGAAAACAAACACAGAATTGTACTTTCTCCCCTTCCTTTGGCTCTCTAACCAAACATTACCTCGTGTGCATCCGGCCATGTGATTTAGAGTCATTTATCTGAGGATCCCATCAGTCGGAGGTGTGGGTTCTGGCCGCTCGCCTCTGCTGACGATTTAACAGCCTTTCCTCTCCAAAACATTAGATAGAAACGCTGCTTTGATTTGCTGCAGAACTCCTTTATTGATCCAGTTCCATTTTTGTTGATATATTTGGTTATATTAGATAAAACATTTCAAATCCTCAGGTTGCAGAGCCTTTAATCAGGAAGGGTTAAAGATAAAGAATCAGCCAAAACAGTTTTACTCATTTATTCTTGCATCTTGTAATAAAATCATATCGGCCATTAATCTGAAGAGCAGATTGTTTTAATCACAGTTTTAATCTCAACCTCAGATGAATCCTAATAGATTTTAGTTTTTCTGAAATGAAATCAAAGGGAAACTGATTCACCATCTTAGTTTTCATTCATGCTTGTTTTTTATTTTCTCTCCAGGGATCAGCCCAGGAAGTCCAGGTCCAATCACACGTCACGAGTCATGTGACAGCTTGGCGTCGGATCACAGCGGCCCAGACGATGAGGAGTGGCTGTCCCAGGTGAGGTGTTGACCTGTCCCACAGTAACAGGTCCTGGATGACTCGGCCGTTCTGTCGTGTTCCACAGAGAAGATCAGCAGAACAAACTGATCTGCTCTGATTTCCAGGAGGAGCTTTTGCTAACGAGTCTTTGCTACCGAGTCTGTGCTAACGAGTCTGTGCTAACGAGTCTGTGCTAACGAGTCTGTGCTAACGAGTCTGTGCTAACAAGTCTGTGCTACCGAGTCTGTGCTAACGAGTCTGTGCTAACAAGTCTGTGCTAACGAGTCTGTGCTAACGAGTCTGTGCTAACAAGTCTGTGCTAACGAGTCTGTGCTAACGAGTCCTCCTGGACTGCAGCTCAGTGGTTGACCAAACTTCTCATTAGATCACATTCTGACTTGGATTTACATCAATTTTATCAAACTAAATTGACTTCTGATTAATTTTTACATATTTCTAGTTTTCAATACTTTAATATTTTTTGCTCATAATTTTAATCTTTTTTTTGTTTTACCTTAAACTGTTTTAAAGTACAAACTTTCTTTACCCTAAGAATGGCTAGCAGTAATATTCAGTGCGTTTAAACATAATAAAAAGCTTCCCTCTGTAGCGTTCTTCCAGAAATCCCCCGAACACATCAACACTTTCCCAGTTTTTCCAAACAGTCTGACAAATCTGGTCCGTTCAGCCCGGTCCTTTCAGCTTGGTTAACCCTCACAGGCCTCATCCCTCATGTCGACAGGTAACCCACTACATTTTCACCATCAATAATTCCTCTGCATGCATAATTGATTGGTTAAAATGCAACCCACTTAGCTTGCAGCGACTCTGGTTTATATCTGCCATGATAGTTTGCCAGGAGCAAAACTATCCATTGCTCTGAGCTGTTTCCTTACAGCTTCCTGTCTGAGTAGCTGCATACATCAGTGGTAGAAATCCTCTGACCTCTGTAACCCCCAGGTTGTTTGGAAGCACCTTTAGGTGGATGCTTTTAAACTGTCCCTACATTTCGGCTGAATGGAGTCCAGTATGGTGTCTCGATTCCTTTGAGAGTAGATGTGAGACTTGCAGTTAATGGCTTAGAGAAAGGCTAAATATGCGTAGGATGGATTGGATTAGAGGCTCAGTCCAGCCTCTAGGAGCTCATTACATCATATCAGTGGTCTTCATTAGATTATCAGAGGGCGTCTGTAGGATTGATCAGCAATCCCCTAATGGAACGTGAGGTTTGTGACCCTTAGTGTGAGGGCCTCACAGGGGGCCATGGAGGCCCTTTCCTCATTGTCAGTGGCTGTCAGTAGAAAATAAAACCTTCTGTCCATCAGGGGGCTTATTTATTACCTGTCAGTTCCAATATGATGGGGGGGGGCGGCAGATGATCAACACAGTTGACATTTAGTCAAAGTTCTGTTTGACAAAAGATCAGTGACTCATTTCATTTCTAAATAAACACAGATAAGACATAATGATGTGAATGAATAACATTAAAACCAGACCAGTTGGATAAAACTGGACCAGTTGGATAAAACTGGACCAGTTGATTAAAACTGGACCAGTTGTATAAAACTGGACCCACTGGCTAAAACTGGACCAGTTAGATAAAACTGGACCAGTTGNAGTTGATTAAAACTGGACCAGTTGTATAAAACTGGACCCACTGGCTAAAACTGGACCAGTTAGATAAAACTGGACCAGTTGATTAAAACTGGACCCACTGGTCCAAACTGGACCCACTGGTCCAAACTGGACCCGTTGGATGAGACTGGACCAGTTTTATCCAGTTTCATCAATCTGACTGGATGATCTGGTGAACTGTGCCTTGAGATGACATGTGTTGTGTATTGGTGCTATAGAAATAAACTGAATAGAATTTAACTTTAGTCGATCCAGGTAACTTAGTGGACCTTTATCACCTCAGAGAACCTGCATCAGGCATTACATTATGACCATTTACAGGTGAAAAGATGGCCGCTGGTTATCTGGCATTGTGGCAGCTTCTCATTGGTGGAGTCAGGAGAGCTTGCATGAATCAAGGAGTTTTACCAGGTGGGGCTCCAGCCCGGCATACACTGCGCGATTTTTTTGGGGCGATTTTCCAGTCTTTCGAGAATCTTTCGATCGGCCCGACTTTCAGCCTGGTCGTGCGTCGTGTAGTGATTAGTCGTACAGTGTCAGCAGCAGATGCGTGCAACGATTGAAAGAAATGGCACAGTGTATGCCCGGCTTTAGAGCTGAACCTGCTGCAGGGGTCAGCATCCACCTAGGAAGGAGCAGCTGGTAGCTGAAGCTGTTTGACCGTAAACCTGGAAGTTCACCTAAATGAGGCCGCCATCATGGAAGGTACAAAAGTTGGATTGGAGCTGAGTGTGATGATAGATACCATCCTGAGAGCTTCCACCTTTTTACATCTGGTTGGCTGAAGATCAGAGACCCTCTGAGTCCTCCTTCCTCTGAGTCTGAAGTCAGTCTGGAGCCTAATGTGGATAAAGAGTGCTGAAACAGCTCTGCTATTCTTTAATTATGATTTTATTTTATGTTGGTTTCACAGATTGAAAATCATTTGATGTTTATGCATTTAGCAGACTCTTTTTATCCGTTTTACTTTTGTCTTTAGTTTTTTATCCACAGGTTGAAATAGAACATGACAGATGGACAGATGGCAGAGAGTTCAGCTTATTTTAGGGTCAGAACATAGAAATAAATGCATTATGAATGGAAGTCAATGATAGTTTTAGTGATTCAGGAAGTGGAGTCGATTCCTAAAGCTCCTCTCAGTTCACAGCTGACCAGCTTTAGGAGCCTGCAGGTCAGAACCAGAACTTCAGAGGCTCCGTGGTCCAGCCATCCACTTCAGGTTTTTTCTTATCAGCCAATCAGCATCCTCCCTCTATCCTCTTCAGGTTCTCGCTGCTTTTTCCACCATAACTTAAGGTTCTTTGCATAACTTGGACATTTTCTGTAGATGTAAAAAGTGTCATAGATAAAATGTTAATGTTGAACGTTTCACTATAATTGACCTAATTTTAAGCATCTAATGCTGTTTTTGTTCCTGGTAGTGAGGAGGATACCTGACATCTCAAGTTCAGAGCTTCTGGATGAACATCTGATGACCCTTAGGTCTCCTGTCCTCAGGTGGAGATTGTGACCCACACCGGCCCCCACCGCCGCCTGTGGATGGGCCCCCAGTTCCAGTTTAAGACCATCCACCCGTCGGGGCAGACCACCGTCATCTCCTCCTCATCCTCGGTGCTTCAGTCCCACGGGCCCTCCGATGTCCAGCAGCCCCTCCTGGACTTTGACACCGATGACCTGGACCTCCGCAGTCTAAGGTACGTAAACCCTGACAGGAGGGTGATGTCATCCTCACAACCGGTTCCAACCGGATCAGGCGGAATGCCTCTTTAGGTTGAAATCTTTACAGCATCAGGAGGAATCTGAGGACGGTTCCTGTCCAGCTGTGACCGGTTTACATCTTCAGATGTTTTTATCAAAGTTTTAGAAATCTCAGATTAAGTTCTAATTAATCTCTGTTTAAAGTAGGAGGAGTTCAGGTTGGAGCAGCTGAACCAGCAGGTGGTCAGTGAGGTTAGTGCTGCCCAGTAACCCAGGGCTGCTGCTCAGACTGGTCAGACTGGTCAGACTGGCCTTTATGTCAATCTGCAACTGAAAAACTAGTGGACAACTAAAAATAATAGTTAAGTTTATTGGTTTCCTGAAACTAACATGCAGGATTTTAAAGCCTAGAAATAGCAGATAGATATGATGACTGCTGATAGAAGCAGAGCAGTAAAGTTAGAAATGTAGGTGAGCAGAAGATAAACGATCAATTAACAACAAGCACAGATTAATTATAGATAAATCAACTTCTATAAAACATGGAATGTTTATAAAATCCTAAAATGGAGACAGTCAGCGTTTTTGTTGTTTTCATTCTTTATAAAAACATCTGGTTCCAGAGAAGAAGAAATCTTCACTGATCGATTATTGATATTGATTAAAAACAGGATCAATAAAGCATCATATTTCACTTCAGGTAGAAAAGTAAATGTTTGCAGAATCCTAAATATGTTGGACAGTACAGTATGTTGAGTACTGAACGCGTCTCTGATCGACGGCGTGGAGACGCTCAGTAGCTGTGAGGACTG